GCAGAGGCAGCCGATAAGATAGATGTCCAACCGACCACGTTACCACTGCTCACTTTTAGACCATGTCTAAGCCCTTGCTTTACCTTTCGCCCCGCGGTAAATGCTGATTCCAGACCACGAAGTGCCTGAAGGGTCAGTCTCATCGTCAGTATTTTTCATTTCACGAGCACGTGACAGCCACGGATCGTTCACGCTCGCTATAGGTGGCGTTGGCTCGCGAGTACACTCATTGTAAGGTTTTAGGCGATTTGCGTCCCATCCTCGGCCCACGGAATACACCAGTAGTCGTACTCACGTCAGTCCAACAACCCGTGGCTGGCACGCGTTTTTTGAAACGGAGAAGAGATAGTATAGGAGTTACTACAAACGTGGTATCTGCCCTGTGAAAGGTCTCTGACCTTCTTAACCCTTTTGAGGTAGTCACAAGTGAAGTCATTGAAGGCGAAATTTACTGTTATAAGGCAACCCGTTGGAGTCAAGGTAGAGGTGGTCAGGGGTGCCGGGATGAAGAAAAACCATGAGAAACGGCCCACAACCCCAGAAATAGGGCCCCCGTTGATCTCCGCATTGATGCTCAGTTACATGGACTCTCATCGATGCTGCCCTCTTCAATGCTAACACTCTCTCTGCTAAGCGGCTAGAGACCTGCGACGAGTGATTAGCCATTTGGTGGGCGTGCCGCACCAACAGCGCCGCGGGTGGGCATGCTAGTTCGCTGGAGCCCATCACTGCGAATTACGTGCGGTTCACCTTCCTCCCATTCGGCGAATTTCCCCTTTTTCGACCTCGGCCTTACCGTGGAATCCTCCGTTGGACAATGATTTGATTGATTTCTGACTTACTCCAAAATTACCTATTTTACGGGTTTACCTATCTCCGTAGAATTGGTGTTGGCAATACATGCAGAAGAATGTGGAAATTAAGGTATTCTTGAAGAGGGTAACCAAAACCTAATAGAAGCCATATTTGTCATTCATGGATATACTTGGGCGCTGGTGGAGACGCAGTGCACGCGTTTTTGTCCTTCTCAGCCTTCATTTCTTCGAATTCGTTGAAAGGACACCAGATTAGTGCAGGCGGACAATGGCCACCATAAGTGCACATGAAACATTGAGGAGCGAATATAAGTGACAGCTCAGCTATCCTCCGCACTGATCATTGAGTCTGAGTCTGATTTATGTACTGTCTAATGTTTGCAAGGCTTAAAGGCATCGTGCACGAAATTCGTAGAGTCCCATATTCACCAAAAATCGGTACTACAAGCCCCTCGTTTCACGACGGCTAGAATATAAATAGAAAATTAGCGTTTATTCTATTATAATAGAAGTTCCAGTAACTAACTAAATTATTGAAAATTTGAACTTCCGCCGTGAAACTGTTACAGATGTTAGCAGTGAAGATCAATACGCGTTAATTTGCTAATTGCGTGAATATGAACGAGAACTCGCTAGATCCTCCGAAACCCAAATGATCGTACTCACAACGTATGCACTTCGTTTCATGAGCCCTTTTCGCACCCTCCTTTCTACCTTAGGTTGTTCAGGAGATGAGCTTCTCAAGAGCCGCTTATTCTTCTCGAGATTCCATTTCTGCCTGTAAGCTACGCACTGCGGGCGGCAGTGGTGTAGTGGCAAGTCTCAATTAATACGCGCAGCGGTCCGGGATCAAATCCTGGGTCGTGAGGGCCAACCAAGCCTTCCATCCCTCCGGGGTCGGTTAAATTGGTACCAGACTTGTCTGGGAGGATAAAAACACTGACTTGTACATCGGCTGGCCCCCGCAAGTCATTGTATAGGCCACATCGCATTCAAACGCCACTACGAATGTACAAATGGAAGTAGAATGCGTGCCGCATCCCAAAAAGGGATTGATCAACGGCAAATGCTTTATCCTTTATCCTTTTATCCTACACTCTGTCTCCTATGACCACACCGAACACATTTGTGTGGGTAAACGAGAAAATCGATTCACGAGTATTCTCCTTTAGAGCATTTAAAAGGCACAACAAGGCTGGAAGGTTCGTGGTTGTATTCGCCTTTCGATCTGCAGTAATAGACCCCTAGAAGACAATCATCAATGTGGCGTTTTCGTGCACGGAAGCCACCCGACAAAAGCGCTTGGGCCTGCAAAGTAAGCTACTAAAGCTACAGATTTTTTCTCCTATCAGGCTGTTGGCAGGCTCTCTCTCATCTTGCTTGCTCCTTCTTGCCTAATACTCCTTCCTCTTCGCCCTAGTCTTCATTGCCGGTAGCACAGACTCATGGCGAACGGAATAGCTCTTACCCTGAGCGCACACCAATGTTTTCTAGGGACACCTTTATAAGGCAAAAGTCAGGCTCGTGTTTCGGCATTATGGCGCCTGATATTGAGTTTAGAGATGGGAAGTGGAACGATAGTGAAGAAAAAACGAAAAAAAAAACTGTCGACAACACCGAAATCGAAACCCCTTTCCTTCTAGCAGTGAAGGAGGCTTGCTTGGGGGAGAGTCACTTCCAAGCGACTTTTCCGGATATGCCAGCCGTTCCATCGGTTGATACGCGCAATCAACCTAAGACGACTCTTTCTACTCGATTAGAGGCCAGCACGCACCTAAGTCCCGCCGGTCGCAGGCGATCCGATCGCTGCCGGGAAATTCTCGCAGCAGCGGCAGCACACAATGCAAGGCCCTAGCGCCTTTGCCGCGCACTTCTTTGTCGCGACAGCCTCACACCCCCTCTGCTTGGAGACCCCACTTTTGCACCCTATAAAGGACTTCCTAATGTTCCCTAATCCTGACTCGTGGCTTTAAGTCGCGTGAACGCTTATACGAAATGATTTGAAATGTGTACCTGTTTTTGGACATTAAAGGCGCTCCATACCCAATTTCTGCCCGCTGACTAACCCAGCGCATGAGTGTTGTGCGACCGCGACGAGCTGCTCCCATTCGCATTAGCTCTGCGTGAGAGCTTACATTGTTATTGCAAATAACGAGCAACGAAAATATCGATGTGGATGGTCTTATGTTGCCTCGAGCATGAGGGAATGATGGACGCATACAGATATATCTGATAATTAACAAGGGGGATAACTCGTGAGCAGTGTGATCAGCCTCTATTTTTGAGTGCGTGCATGTCGGTTGGTTATTCAGTCAGAATCGCCCTGCATTCGCTTGTGGTTCCATGCAAGGAAGGTGGGCGGCAGTAGGCGGGAAGCAGAGGGAAAGAGGGAAGATAGATATTAGGAGTTAGTTATCCGAGGGTTTGCTTACGATGCCCTTAGACCACCCAACTTCGAAAAAAGTCCTCGTCGCTAGCACATTACCTACTGGTAAATAACTGTTACCTTCGCTGTTTATGAGAAACCGATTCTATGAGCCCGAAGCTATACTATATCATCTTTTCTGTAGCCTGACTTGCTGAAGGGCTACGTAGACGAAAACGCGACGTAGCACTAGTACTTCAGTGCCAGATCGTCTTTAACGGTTATGAATATGCGTTCCACGTCATGCGTTGGCACAGTTGTTGGTTTATTGGAACTCAAAGGGCCTAAATCGGTTATCCTTTCCGAAACATGATGCAATCCAATCCAGGATCCAAACCTACCTACTATTGTGAACGGAAATCGAATGCATAGCGCGTTTCGGACGGAAATGTGATCGATAAACATAGTTTCTTTCGGAAAGGGTTTCCCAAAATCTCAGTGTCTAATCTAATCCACGCACTGCCTCATAAATTCCTTCGACTGGCTCCGGGGACTGTTCCCATAAGTAGAGGTTAGACGAGGAATCGATCACCGAGAGCTACCCAAGCGAAGCGAAACCCTGTGGAATTACTTGAAAAAATCTCGTTAGGTGAGAAATTATACCTATGAACAAATGGAAAATCTCTATAGTGGAGCAGTAAAGTTTCCTCATGTGAATGATTTTTGCTTCTATGCTGTACTTGAAACGTTCGATCACTCGCTAGGTAAAGAATCCTTTTTGAATTTTTCAAAATGCGTGGGTTGTTGATTCGAATAGTTAAATTAGCTTTTACGTACATATTGACCCTAATCGCCTAAAAAGCCTAATATCACCCCCAGTCCTTCAAGTACAGTACAGCGCTGATCCCTTCATACCTTCGAGTGCCTCCCACTCTTTCAGATGAATCAAATATGAACCACCCACCCTTCCCACCCTACTCTCTTCTCTCCTCAACGGATTCTCGTTTCCACCGCCTCCACCGTGGGAACTCTTGCATGGGCTGAGAATTAATTTGTTTGCGAAAAAGCGCGCTAAACGGCTGCTAAAGTTGGGGACTAAAGTTTCCAAATGACGTGCTGAAATGACTATAAGTGCAACGTGAAGACGGCGCATTTGCGCGAGTGTTCGTGGGCGTCCGAGGTCTTGTTTCGAGGAGCGCGAATGATGTGAGACTGCCAAATGAGATAGCGATGACATCATCGACTTCTGGGAAAAACAAACTGAAGAAAAGCGCAGCGTCTATTGCTCCGAAATTCGCCCTTATGGCCAGCCCTTAGGCCTCAAAAAGCTTCACGAAAATCGTTTTCCAATGGGGGCGAATTTCTGCTGCCAACGAGAAGTACACCATCGAAAACCGTTTAGCGTTCGATAAAAAGCGAGGTAGGGTTCAAATCAGGAGATCATTTTACAGATGCACAGGGGATACGGTAGTTGTCTGCGTTACGGTGTATGCTCCAAGTGCGTCCGAAAACTGCGAATTCAAGTAAAGCCATTATTCGGAATGCTGTGGCTACACAAGTTCAATGGTTCTATGAATTACCATAAATCACTATTATTTAATAGAATAGGCAGTGGTAACGTCAGAAATAGACCAGTGAATGCGGAAAAATCCTTAAGCTCGATAAATCGATATATTGACTGATTTGGAAAGCCTGAGCTATGTACCTGTGTAATTTCCACAAATCGATATATCGATTCAATTGGGAATTGTACACTAGTTGATACATATGTATTAGCTGTTTGACAAAGACTCGTTCATAAATAAATGATTATTTTAGGCTGCACACTCAGTGACACGCTATGTGGAAGGAAGAGAGTCTTGCTTCCGCTGGGTAAGCTTATCCTAAGCCTTTCATGTGGGACGATCGTATTAATTGATTGCCAGTTCTTGCGTATATTTGGTCAAAGAGAGGTCATAAGTGTATTTTTAAAACATATGTCTTTCAGTATGATGTACAGTACCTATAGTTTGTCAGAACGGGTCTGCTGATAGAATCGCACACGGGGCGGGAATGGGGCGAGGGGTCTGCTAATCGATATATCGATTTCTGAAAAGACATTTTTGAGTCGCTCTGTTCCTCTCTCTACTGACTAATCCCTTTACTGGAATTGTGCACGTCACCAGTCGCTCTTCACAAATAAGCTCCTCAAGTGGACTAGCGGGACAATGGGTCTAAGAAAAGCACGCTTTCTCCGTTGAAAAATTTGATTAAATGTGTTTCGTGTGGGACTTATACATTTTTAACGATTTCTTTGCAAAAGCAGAATCGATATATCGATTCGATCTTATTAAAGTCAAGGAAGTATTCAATCATCACTCAGGTTATCATCACCTTTTTTCCAAACATTTGGATTTTCACTGGACCTAACCAACTGTTCTTTCAAACAATTGATAAACTTTCGCAGAAGCGAGATTGTAACAATTAGACATAGCCGATCGATTATTGATTAGCTCTTTACAGACGGTGTGTTCGGGCAGTGCTACTCGCCGAATAGCGGTGCGCCTGAACCTACCGTAATAGATCATCTAGATGACACACAATTGGAACTACTACGTTTAGAACTTACCAGGTTCGTTGTTTTTTCCACCTCCTAGGTCAGTTTCGTCAATGTACAGCAAAGAATTACTTCAGGTTAGCAAAACAGGGTCTTGAGTGGCCAGATCAACGTGCACAATGTGTGCTTTCCTACTTCAAACTCTCAATGTACTACGGCCTACAGTACGACCCGGACTTTTGTCAAGTTCGGAACCCGGCCAACATTTGGGCTCTAATACAGGTTAGCTGATTTCAAATAATTAAATGAGCCGCTGCTTCCACTGATGCTTGACGCTTCAGCTTATTGAAATGAGCTTGAACGAAGATCCGACAGTAACAGAGCAGGAAGCAGCTGAAAGTCCAACTGTTGTCGAAGACATCGACATGAGCGATGACGCCAACAGAGTTGTGAGTGATGTTTTTGATGAATTATTTACACAACACTCGGATATCGCGACAACAGCCAAGTCTCAAACAGTGATTATCGAACACGGTGGACCAAAGTTGAGGATTTCGTCGATAGGAAGGGGGAGCTGGAATTGACTGTGATTTTTGGGAAGGATTCAGGAAGGGTTCAGCTAGGGTGCAGTAATTCCCTCACCATACATTTCCAAGTAGAATTAGGAGTTTTGAGAAATTTTTCATAGAATTTCATGAAATCTTGAGCTTTTGGCAGAAATTCTGCGGATTTGGCTGGAATTTTGGAATTGTTGTTGTTTTTGTTTTGGTGTACAATACATCCTCCCATTGGTTCGGAGGAAATTCTTTGGGTACACCTAGGTACGGTAGTTTCAGTAAACGAGGAACGGGGATGAGATCACTACCACATGGTTCATGGAAGCCCAGCTAGTCGAGTTGGGTGATTGTGTTAGCCTCGAAGAGGGTGGGTGAAGGGTCGTATAAGCCAAAGTTCCTCAACACGAGACTCACACTGTAACCCATTTTTGGTCATTAAGTACAGTAGCCAACAACCCCGAGCGGGAAGGTGTCACAGTGTTAATGTTATCATTAACTGTAGGGACAGTCTAGCTCTTTTACGGTCGTTTCGTCTAACACCCGGTAATTTCAAACGTTTGTTTCGGAGAACAGCCAGCCAGCCGCCAATAAGGAACTAGTTATAAAATACAGGAATAAGTGAGTGGGAAGCTCAGTGTATTCTCAAATTCGTTTGGCTGATTCAAATATCATGAATGGATTATTTCCTATCAACCCACGCCTTTTCTTGCAATTTGCCTGCTCAGGAATGATCTATGGCCCATACACCTCCGCCTTATTGTGCTATATGTAGCCAAGCAAAGCAATATTCTTATTATGAACCATAAATAGCCTAACAGTAACGCAGCATTGCCTTG